AGGGTGGTGATGGTGCGGCCGTTGAAGGCGGAGGATGAGGAGAGGATCGATCTCGATCGCAGCGATCTCAATCCAAGAAGAGCCCCTCCCCTCTTGCAGACGATGCCAGCAGTAGACATTTGACCGATCGATCGAGCGAGCGAGCGATTTGTTTGTCGCGGACAATAAAAAAAACGCAAATTCGATGGAGGATGGGCAGCAAACCGGATTGACGAAGAACCGTGAAAGGAATTTTGGAAGACTTTTTTTTTCCCTTTTTCAGCTTCGATTCCTCGATAAAAGGCAAGACATAAAAATAAAATGATGGAGAAATTTCTATCTACCTATATATCTATAAGCTTTCTTTTCCCCCCTTTTATTTCTGTACTTATTTATTTATTTATTATTTATGATCTTTTGGGAAGTGGGGGCAGGGACGAGAGACTGGTCGAGGGCTGCTACCTCGTGATATGGGATTTCGGGGATTCTTATTTATTTATTTAGCTCGCCTCATTTTAGGGGTTTCCTAATCTTGGACTCCAAGCTTTATTCATTCATTTATAAATTACGCTTCCCTTTCTTTTTTATTGTAAATTTAAAATTAATGCAGCGGTTGTTGGCCTATGTTTTATGTGACGTGGTATGCCATTTTCTTACTGTTTTTAAGGAAAGAAAAAAGAGAAAGAGAGAGGAAACTGTCTGATAATAAGGAAAGAGGCCTTTAGACGGAAGGAACAGATTTTTTTTGGTCGGTCTGATGATATTTATTCCTATTTAAAAACGCGTGTGAATTGGAGATGGAAGAGATGGAATTCTTTTTTTCCCCGCTTTGCTTTATTTATTAATTGATGGCGCTGAGTTGCCCAGGCTTCGACCGGGAAAGCCCAAAACGTGCGGTTTGCGGCAATTTGCCACCGCGCTGCTCTTTTGACCCAAACGCGCGCGCGCACGCCACGATCATGGCTTTCTCCGGTCGTATGGACCAAGAACATCCGGAGGAGAATTGACTTGAGTTACTAGGTAATTATTTATCTACATATGCAACAGTTTTAATTAACTAGAAAATATCCGGCTATGGCTTGGTCACTGGATGAAAGTTGAGACCACCAACCGCTCCAGACAAAGAGAGAGAACGCCGATTAACTCTCTCTTTTTCTACCCCATATCAAAAGCCAAAGCCCGTTCATGGAGGTAGGTTGGGAGGACAGGTCGCCAGCAGCACGAACAATACGGCAACGCAGATTCCCCTACCAATATCACAGGGATGGCAATGAATCCACCATCATGCTAAAAAAAAAACCTCAAAATACAAAGTCCTAACCTAGCCTAATCCGCACCCCGGATGCTAGTAACTAACCAGCCCTCACCCCAATCCTCCCTCTGAAATGAATGATTCAGCTTGGATCAGGTTGGCCTGAACATACAAAAAGGGTCCTACAACATGACGATCATTCACAAAGAAAATAAATATTAGGGATAAACAAATAGAAAATTTCAAATACAATATTAATACCCAACACTGACTTCCAAGTTCAAAGTTAGTTACGTAACCATAATACAAACCGAGATCAGAATAACATTATATGAGAATTCTATACCAGAGTCTGAAACGGTCTCGAAATCACGGGTCTAGGTGCGCCACAACCGTGCTTAAGACTTTGAAGATGTTGTAAAAGAATGCCAATAGTTCTCTTCTGCATCTATAGTAGTAAAATACTGTAAGGATGAGACTGACATTACCTAAGAACCCAATGACTAGAGGAAACACACGCCAAAGATTCAGATCTGTACATACAACTGTCACGCCCACTGAACATGGAGCATCAGCAGTATTAGCCTAAATAAATATCCGACAAGATATACAATCATAATACAAAATGACTTAATTTGAGGGCATTGATTATTTTCTGCCACTTTCCTGACCCTTATCAACAGAATAGACGGGGATCAGACCCAAAGCATAATCTGGCAGTTTAACTGATACAGCCTAAAATATTTTGCAAACAGGTAACAAAATCCAACAGATACAGCACAAAAGAATTCATACATTATCTTGCTGATCCCTGAGTTCACTCTGTCTCCAAGCTGACAGGTTCCGTTCTGACTGACAACAATAGCTCCTTTCTACTACTTGGGCGGCCGGCGATAAGGATACATCATGTCATCAACGGTATTTTTGATGCAGGTACCCACTTTGTTTAGGTTTTTGGCAACTCCAGAAGCCACCAGTCCAGCATTCCTTGCAAACCTGCATAATCAAAACAGACTTCAATATCCACTGCTATCATTGCTTTTGAACAAGGTTGGCCAAAATGAAAACTGAACACTTTCCTCGTGTAGAAATCATCAATGGTGGAGTGTGCTGGCTTGTGTGGCTGTGGTTGAGAACGAATAACACCATCTACATGAATATAAACATAAACCAGTGAGATTTCAATCAAAAGAATGTACATGATGCAAAGGAAAGCTTATGCTCCGGATGCTTTGATGGGTAATTGACAGCTGACCTACATCCGGCTATGAAAATCAAAACCCCATCACATACATACTCTCGTTATCTTTTGCTCAAATTTTCTACAAGCCTAACATCCTTGGTAATATAGTAATGATAAGCTATATCTAAGTTGCATAATAAAGCAACAGGAACTGAGGAACATCGATAGACTAAAATGATCGATGGAATTGTATCAATCAGAAAACTGTTTTCGCTTGATAGATAGAGTAGCATGCCTCAAAAACTACATTTGATATCCTAGAACACATACTTCCCAGGTAGATGTAGTAAAATCATCAAAGATGGAATTGCAGCAATCAGAAGAACAAAATGATGGTAAAATAGACTTTGATCATTACATTTTGACAGAAGAAAGCATTGTTTACATGCTAAATGATATACAATAGATTACCACAGTACCTTCTTTGTTATGAACGTGAGCAGGAACACGGGTAGAGTTTGATGCTCTTCTGTCAACCAGTAGCTGCAACGAATTTCTATAGCTGTTAAACAAGGTTGAAAGAAGAAAAAGAACAAAACAAAACAAAACCCTTATCCCAAATTTCTGAGGTTGGCTAAATGAAACCTCCACAAGTATATATTGAACAAAATGCTAAATTACAAGATAGATTTTCCCTTTGACAGATCTTATAGCTTTAATCTACATTCTTCTAAGGTGAAAATTGCATACTTGGACAAACTTAGAGGAAAAATCTTGAGGCACAAGTCATACATATCATTCACAGCATTAACAAAAGAAATAATACTGTGTGAAAAGGCCAGTCCATTTGGCTAAGGCCAACAGAAGGGATCCCATGTTCTATATGGTTCTGCCAAGCAAAATAATAATCATCTAAGGCGTACATCACAACAGAGAAGCAAATGAACGATTAAAAGAATCAGAAATTTTGTTACAACTTACAACAAGAGGAAAGCATGAGTGCTAAATTATATCCACCACATACATATGTGATAATAAGGCTTTACTGTTCTCTGGGAAAGAGAAAAGGGGGAAAACCTTAAAAGCTCATTCCGGATATGAAACCACAACATTCACCATTAGGGTAGTCCACACTGCTCATCTTGATATATGCATCACGAAAGAGTATAGAATCATGTGTTTTGATAGGGTATACAGTGTGTATGAAATGATCACTAGTACTATTGTTTGCAATTTATTTGGTAACTCTTAGATGAATAGCTTGGAAATCTAGAGGGAGGGAGGGAGGGAGGTTGGGAGATTTGTGATTCATTTAACACAGACGTGCAGTTTCTTGGGAATGGATGGCAAAATGTTTTCTTGACAATGAATGACACAAGTCATTTCCTTTCCTTATTCATTCCAATTTATCGACATTTAGGTTTAAGATTCAACCTTTGCTTTCTCAGTGAGATTAATTTCCTGCTGCTGCAATTTATTTGCCATGTCGCTAATGAGGTACATACCAAATAACTTGAAGTTGACAAGGGGATTGCAAGCAACTAGCAATGATGTTCAAATTTTAAAATCCGAGGACTAGACCTCGATATGGTTATGAACATTTTAAAAAATATGGTCTAGTATAGAAATTAATTCCCAATGGAATATGAAGTAACACTTTCCTAGATGATATTAGGACAAGGTTACAGAAAGCGCTAGTATAGAAATTAATTCCCAATGGAGTATGAAGTAACACTTTCCAAGATGATATTAGGTGAGGATAAAATGTAAGGTGACAGCTCATTACAAATGAGCTACCAAGAGATAAGACTGGTTGTGAGACTGAGACCCACCAACTAGCCAACTTACGAGAAAGGTTGGTAGATAATTCTACAACAGCAATAGTAAAGTCTTTATTTTGAGATCTGCTAACTATAGTAAGTAGACAATTATCAGCTACAAAATAAACTCACAAAATCTTCTTTCTACAATATTTTTTGATTTATCTTTCCACCCCCAAGACTTGGTCAATGGGTGTTTTACCCCCAAAAATAAAGATTTTGTTCTCTGAGCCCCAAAACACAAAACCCAAGAGATTAAAATATGTGAAGACCATAATACCCTTCTCTCTCTCTTTCTTTTTTTATTAAAATATGATGAGGATTATTTTATTATTTTTGTTTTCTCTCTCTTTATCATAATGTACTAAGATGATAGTTGAAATGATTGATGATGATTATTTTATTATTTTCGTTGTTTGTATTGAGAGATTGTTAAAGTTACGGGTTAATTTTTAAGGTTACGAGTTAATTGTTAATGTTACGGGTCAATTGTTAAGGTTATGAATCCTCTCTCTCTCTCTATCTCTCTCTCTCTCTCATGATTAGGGGTGGAAATGAACCAAATAATTAATAAATGGTTTGATAATTGTTCGAATAACTATTCGATCATATTTGATTCGATAGTTCATTTATCACTAAACAAATATTTTTTAGTATTCAAGTTTATTAACGAATAGAATTTAACCAGATGTATATTCGATTCGTTTGTCTATTAAATATTCGTTTAAAATTTGATCACATCATATTACTTGTATTATTGCACATATGATGTCATATTTTTAACCCACTTACCATTTCTACTTAAGTTTTATATATAGATTTTAAGACTTAAATAATCTTAAATCTGTTTTCTAATTAAAATTTTGATTTAAATATATATACATCATATATTATAAAGAAGTAATTTTTATTTATAAATTTTAATACTATTTGAAAATTAAACTCTTTAGCCAAATAAATATACTTTGATATTCGATAAGTATTCGTGAATATTCATAAATATTTATCAAATACCAAGTATTCGAGTTCGAATTCGAAAAACTAGATATATGAATAATAGAGTCCGCTTAAGATTATGAATCCTCTCTCTCTCTCTCTCTCTCTATCTATCTCTCTCTCTATCATGATGTTACTTTGATGATATTGAAATGATTGAAGAGGATTATTATTTTATTATTTTTGTTTTTTATTATTTTCGTTATTTGTATTGGGAGATTGTTAAAGTTACGGGTTTTGTTAAGGTTACGAGTTAATTGTTAATGTTACGGGTCAATTGTTAAGGTTATGAATCCTCTCTCTCTCTCTCTCTCTCTCTCTCTCTATCATGATGTTACTTTGATGATATTGAAATAATTAAAGAGGATTATTATTTTATTATTTTTGTTTTTTATTCTTTTTATATTTTTAGAATATTTGTTGTTAAGGATAATGGTTGGTTGTAAAGGTTATGCATTGTTTGTTAAGGTTACGGGTTGATTGTTAAGGTTACGGGTTGGTTGTTAAGGTTATGGGTTTGTTGTGTAGGTTACAGATTTGTTGTTAAGGTTACGGGTTTAATTGTTAAGGTTACGTGTTTAATTGTTAAGGTTACGGGTTTAATTGTTATGGTTACGGTTTAATTGTTAAGGTTACGGGTTTAATTGTTAAGGTTACGTGTTTAATTGTTAAGGTTACGGGTTTAATTGTTAAGGTTACGGTTTAATTGTTAAGGTTCCGGTTTAATTGTTAAGGTTATGGGTTTAATTGTTAAGGTTACGAGTTTAATTGTTAAGGTTACCGGTTTAATTGTTAAGGTTACAGTTTAATTATTAAGATTACGGGTTTAATTGTTAAGGTTACGAGAGAGAGAAGGGATCCATAACCTTAACAATTAACCCGTAACCTTAACAATTAAACCCGTAACCTTAACAACTAACTCGTAACCTTAACAATTAAACACGTAATCTTAACAATTAAACCCGTAACCGTAACAATTAAACATGTAACTGTAATAATTAAACCCGTAACCTTAACAATTAAACTCATAACCTTAACAATTAAACCCGTAACCTTAACAATTAAACCGTAACCGTAACAATTAAACCCGTAACATTGACAATTAAACATGTAACCTTAACAATTAAACCCGTAACTTTAACAACAAATCCGTAACATACACAACAAACCCATAACCTTAACAACAAACCCGTAACCTTAACAACCAACCCGTAACCTTAACAATCAATGCATAACCTTTATAACCAACCATTATCCTTAACAACGAATATTCTAAAAATACGAAAAGAATAAAAAACAAAAATAATAAAATAATAATCCTCTTCAATCATTTCAATATCATCAAAGTAACATCATGATAGAGAGAGAGAGGATTCATAACCTTAACAATTGACTCGTAACATTAACAATTAACTCGTAACCTTAACAATTCATCCGTAACTTTAACAATCTCCCAATACAAACAATAATAATAATAAAAAATAAAAAATAATAAAATAATAAAATAATAAAATAATCATCATCAATCATTTCAACTATCATCTTAGTACATTATGATAAAGAGAGAGAGAAAACAAAAATAATAAAATAATCCTCATCATATTTTAATAAAAAAAGAAAGAGAGAGAGAAGGGTATTATGGTTTTCACATATTTTAATCTCTTAGGTTTTGTGTTTTGGGGCTCAGAGAACAGAATCTTTATTTTTGGGGGTAAAACACCCATTGACCAAGTCTTGGGGGGTGGGAAGCATGTTTCCTTAGCTTTTGGGGGCTGGAAGCATTTTTCCCTTTATTTTATCCATTTGATAATTTACGTAGTTTCTGCCTCTCGATATAACTTCCAAGTAGAATATATAGCAATCACTGATTCACAATAAGATATAATGACAGCATAATAAACTCTTTTAACCCTCAAGGAAGGCAAAACAAAAAAAAGCGGCAGGATCCAACATCAGAAACACGATGTCTACACAACAATCCAAAGTTGAGAACAGAAAACAAAATCCAGCTGCCAGCATAATGGCTACAGGTAACCAGCAAATGCACGTCGTACATGAATTTTTCCCAGAACGATTCTCTACAAAACTTATTGTAATTAATCACAGGTTAGAATGCATTCACTGGTCCGCATGCCAATAAGTTGCCATAGCCATGCTACCACTCGGTTGAGTGAAACCATTCAAACTTCATGGTCGTATACCTCATCTCCTCAATCTTTTACAAGCTCGCAAGGCAAGCACTCAAGGGGAAGAGGAAGGGGAAAGGCGGAGAGGGGTGGGGGCTACTATTTACTTAAAATAGCAGTTATGCTCATAGCAATCAAGTTTAAGGAAACACTGATTCGCTGAGAATCTAAAGAGAAATACCAAAATCAAAATTAACACATAAAAAAATGGAACTGAATTGGTAGTGGTATGAGTGAAACCTCAATGCCAGCACAAAAGGGCAACTCCGCTCGGTTTTCTCCCTTGACATCAGGATTATTTGTATTGTCCAAAAACACTGAGTAACCTGTGCATGCATACTTGAAGTCTGACAGGTTACGACCCTCATTATTAGCCTCCATCTCAGATTCACCCACTATATGAAGAGGAACTGGGGGTGTAAAACAAGTTAATAGTCAGGCCATGCCTCACCAATGAAAATCTCTATGTTGATCAAAAGCACATAACCAAATTGGGAAGAAAATGAAATTACAAATGAGAGATCATGTACTTGAGATATAATACCTTGCATTTCGGGTTCTACTTCTGAAAGCTTTTTGCCTAACTCATATTTTAGGGGCTAACAATGTACTTCATGTGGAAAAATACCTACTGTTGACCAGATCTGATCCTTTTACACCTATGATAACTAAGTTAATCATACTCTCTATTTTGCAGACGTAAGACTATATAAAAGGCTGGTGGGGATGATTGATTCTTCATTTTCAGGTGGCGAAAAGATTAAGAAGCAAATAGAGGAAGTGTGAAAATATCCATACAAGGGATGTTTACGTAGTGGATAGGGTTTTCTTGAACAACTAGACATGTTTCATCTCCATCTCCACATCTTTCTACCACTTGTATCTGTCCATCTGCTACATAGGCGCGCTCTTCATTGCTTTATTTCATTCTCCATATAGCTTCTTTGTGATTGTTATTGTTCTAGAATAGTTGCTTTTTTCCAATACCAAATTGGGTACTTATAATGTGAGATCTGTTTGAAACCTTGCCCCCCAACAGCAAGCACTTTTATAGGGTTTTCCGTATCTTCATCGACTCTCTGCTTGCCAGTATTATTATTACACAGATCAATATATCAGCTCTAATAGCATCCGTCTTTATGAAATAAGATTCCAAACAACTATATTGAACCTAAACAATCCTTGGATATCATCAATCTTCATCATTTAAGAAAAAAATATCAAACCAAATCACGTGTCTACTAATCTAAAGAACACAATCCGGAAAGAACCCCAATTCCAAATTCTATTCTAGGACCAAAAATAGCAGAGATCCCAAAGCATCAATTCGCGGCCAAATCCGTGAAATACAATTATAAACAAATAATTTGAAGATCGAAAAAGGTGGTGCAAACCTTGAGGGAGAGTACGGGAGATGCCGAAGCACCTAGGGTTACGGCCGTTGGATTTGAGAACGGACGAATAATAAAGGCAGCCTTTGCAAGACTTCCCCTTGCTCACTCCCGTCGCCGGAGACGACTTCGCTGCATGATTCTGGCCATCGCCACCGCCGTCCGGCGATCCCTCCATCTCTCTCTCCCTCTTTTTTTTTTACCTTTTTTTTTTCCCTCTCCTCTCTGTTCCTTTCTTTTTTCTCTGTAGAAGAAGAAAGAAAATCCTTTTTAATGCAAGCAACTCGCTGATGACTCACGGTCACAGGCTCCTGAGACGGGGCCCACTGAGGAGGAGAGGGTCGGTTTTCTGGGTGCGAGGTAAGCCTGCCACCTTTCGCTGTTTGTGGTGAGAGATGCCTCGGACCCTAGCCATCGACCCAAAATATGTGACCAATAGGGGGGACAAGTGAGGTGTCCACCTCCTATTAGATAATGAGTTGGTCATCATTAATGATGACCAACTCATTATCCAATAGGAGATAGACACCTCACTTGTTCCTCCTATTGGTCCCATATTTTGGGTCCCTATAGCAAAGCTCTTTGAAAAAATATCTTCTAAATCTTAGTATCATATTATATCATACTATTTTTAAAAATATGAGTTGGGAAAATCTTTTCATAGTCAATATTATTCTTAATTTCTTTTAAATATTATATTGTTATCCTAATCTATTCTAATTTCCTAACTTCTTTGAACTTATAATTAAATGGTTTATTTTATCCATAATGAGATTTAACATGTTATTAGATAAATGTGATATGTTTAATATAATTCAAACCTTTTTAATTATTTTAATTTACAGAGAAATCTAAAAAATATATGCTAGTCAGCACCTAAAAGTTTTTGGACCTTATAAAAAATACCATATAAGTTTTTAAATTGCAAAAACACCCCTATAAACTCAAAATTTTATTAAAACATATTAAAAATTATAAATTTTACTTATTTCAACTCAGTGAGAAATCTAAAAAATATATGCTAGCTAAAAACTGAAAGTTTTTGACGAGAAATTATCTTGTAAGTTCTGGAAAAATGCAAAAGCACTCATAAAATTTAAAATTTATAAAAAAACACCTTGAAAATTTAAACCAATAAACACTCTAAAAACCTACAAATAATACAAACAACCCCCGAAAATTTATGGAATTTTTAATAAAACTCTAAACTTTTTACAAATTGTAAGATAAAACCCTCAAGATTGTAAAATTTATAAAAATCTGATAATTTCTAACCTAACAATACATTGGAAATATAGGAGTTACAAATATCCCCTGCATAATTTATAAGTTATAAAAAACACCCTTAAAGTTTCAAAAATTACAAACAAGCACTTAAAATTCAAATTTTACAAAAAAGAACACCCTGAGAATTTCAAACTCATTGGTAAATTGAAAATATAGGAATTATAAATAGCCTATAAACAATTCACAATCTATAGAAAATGCCTATAAGTTAAAAAAAAGTTAGAAAAAACCCCTAATATTCATAATTTACAAAACACCATAAAAATTTCTAACCTATAGACACTAAAATGAATATACAAAATTACTAGCAGCACCTAGAAAATAAAAAATTTATAAAAAAATATCATACTCTCTTTAAAAGTATAAGTTTAGGAAAAACTTTTCATGGTCAATATTACTCATAACTTTTTTAAAAAGAACATAATTAATTAAAAATCTATTAGTTTTAAAATTTTCAAAAAAACAAACTTAAAGTTTAGTATATTGCAAATTACCCCTCCAAAGTTTGAAATTTTTCAATGATTTTTTTGTAGTTCCTTGATTTTAATGTAATTTTTAATAGTTTTATGTATTTGTTAATTATAAAAGTTTAGGGTGTTTGTTTTTACAATTTAAAAAATTTTTAAGGGTATTTCTTTTATAGTTTTCTAAATTTTTATTGTGTTTTTAGTGTATTGCATAGATACATCAATTAATGGTGATATTGAAGAGTAAGTCGTTCTTAAGATGTATTAGGCTATAGTTAAGTGTGCACATCACTATTCCTAGGCAGTATAGTTTATACATGTAAAAATTTTCAAACAATCTATATAGTGGTTAAAAGGTTTTTATTCCTAGGCAGTATAGTTTATACATGTAAAAATTTTCAAACAATCTATATAGTGGTTAAAAGGTTTTTAATTAACTTTAATGTACTATTTTTTATAAATTATATTTAATGTGAACCCATCATGTAATTTTAACTGTGGTCATTATAAATTTAATACGTTTAATCGATTGACTATATAAGTATATAGACCATAGATTGCTTTACTTTCTCGCATGAACTAATATTTGGTACTTAATAATTTAAATTATTACTTTTAAATTACATTTATTTATTTACCTACAGAATAATACAAATTCAATTCCTATTTTTTTCTTGAGATTTATTTTATAGTTACGTGTATCAAATTAATAATTAAAATAATAATTATTTATGCTTAAATTAGGATGATTATAGTTGGTCACTCACTATGAAATTTTTATGAATATATATATACCTTACTTTCTATAGCTCTCTGCAGTGCCCATGTATATTTTATAAATTACTTGTTAATTTGACATATTAAGTAACTTTTCCTTTGTAGAAATTTTTTTTAAAACTTTTGGATTATGTAATCACTATGTCACATTCTAATGTAGAAAGGACCTCATTCTAAATGGCTTAAAGCCAATGTTTAAGTTGAATTGAAGTATATACTATTGCTATTATGCTTAAAGTCATTTTATATTTTGAATTAACAGTTTATTTTATGAGAATTTTTAAAAAGATCACTTTTTAAAAATATTAGCAAAATCAACTATTTTACATAATAATTAACAAAATTGACCTTTTTTGCCACACCATCAAGACTGACAACAAAGAGGTTGATTTTGTATAAAAATTATCTTTAAAATACACGGGACTAATAGTCCTGTGTAATTAGAGAAAATTAATTACAAAAGTAATTAAAGTCAGAAAATAGTGTTAGATTCTTGAAGATATACAATGTAGTCACTAGGTATTGCTGGTTTTCTAATTCTAGAGGATCTTCTTAGTTCAACTTGATTATCCAAATTTTCTTGATTTTGGATAACCAGTACCTCATGAATTTCCTCAACATGAGGAAGTTCATCACCTATTATGTTTTGAATTAATTGTTCAATAACTTGATTTGTTGTGTCTTCTATAATCGGCACAATTCTCCTTCGAAAAAATAATTCATTAACTGTAGATGATGAACTAGGATTCTTTATTTCCTCAATTCTCATTTTACGAGGAAACTCATCAAAAGTTGAATCCTCAAGAAATTTAGCATTCCTAGCTTCTACAATCTTTGGTGTGTGCAATGGATAATAAAATCTATATCCTTTTGAATTTAAAGCATACCCAATAAAGAAGCCACTTTCGGTTCTTGAATCAAGTTTCTTAATGTGAGGATTATATGTTCTCACTTCAACTCGGCAACCCATACGTGCATATGATTCAGACTAGGTTTCCATCCTTTCCAAATCTTAAAAGGAGTTTTTGGAGCTGCTTTTGATGGAATAGATTAAGTATATACACAATAGTCTTTGGTGCTTCACTACTCCAAAAGGATGATGGTAAATCTGCATTACTAACCATACTTCTAACCATATCCATTAGTGTCATATTCCTTCTTTCAACCACACCATTTTGATGTGGTGTACCCGGCATTGTGTATTGTGCTATAATACCTTCACTTTTAAGGAATCGGGAAAATGGACCTGGTATTTGTCCTTTTTTGGTGTATCTCCTATTATACTCTCCACCTCTATCTGATCTCACAATCTTTATTTTCTTGTCTAGTTGATTTTCTACCTCGACCTTATAAGTCTTAAAAGCATCTAATGCTTCAAACTTTTCATTTAGGAGGTATAAATACATATACCTAGAATGGTAATCAATAAATGAGATGAAGTATTTTTGACCATTTAAACAAAGAATTGGAGATGGTCCCCATATGTATGTATGAATAATTTGTAGACATTCTATACTCCTTTTAGAACCCTTTTTAGTAATGTTAGTTTGCTTTCCCTTTATGCAATCCACACATGTACTAATTTTAGTAATGTTAGTTTGCTTTCCCTTTATGCAATCCACACATGTACTAAAGTTAGTAAAGTTTAGATTAGGAAGAATCCCTTCATTTATTTCCCTTTATGCAATCCACACATGTACTAAAGTTAGTAAAGTTTAGATTAGGAAGAATCCCTTCATTTAATAACATTTTCATTCTATTAACTGAAATATGGCCTAATCTCTTATGTCATAATATAGAGGAGTTTTCCTTAATGATACTTCTTTTATTGCCAACATTATCGATGTTTAGAGAAAGCAAATTATTTTCAAAGTTTGTATCTAAATCAAGCTTGTAAAGATTTTCAGATAATATTCCAGAACCAATACAAACTTCATCTTTATATAAAAGAAATCTATTAATATTGAAATTAATTTCATAACCATAAATACTTAGTTTTGATACATAAATTAAATTTCTAGAAAATGAAGGTACATAGAACACATTTTTCAAATCAATTACATAACCAGATTTTAAAATAAGTCGATACATTCCTATGGCCTTTACAAGTGACCGCATCCCATTTCTTGAATAGATGCCCGACTCACTTTCCGTCAGCGTCCGTTGGGTTAGAAACCCTTACATAGTATTGACAATATGAATTAACGAATCAGAATCAATCCACCAAGTATTATTAGGAACATGAGTAAAATTAGATTCGAAACAAACATATGATATGATATGATATTATCTTTCTTCGCGAGTCATTTCTTATATTTCAGACAATCTTTCTTAATGTGTCCTCTCTTTTTACAGAAGAAGCACTTTGGACCTTTACCCTTGACCTTCATATGTTGTTTTCCTTTAACCTTTAACAGATCAGATCCAATTTTGCCTTTAAATGTATTTTTCTTATCATGAGTTGTTATATCAACACTTTCTATAACCTCATGTTTAAGTCTTTCTTCTTCTTGAACACACATAGTTAGGAGTTCATTTACGGACCAATTCTATTTGTGTGTATTGTAAGAGATCTTGAAAGGTTTATACTCCACTGGAAGTGAAGAAAGTATGAAATGCACTAGAAATGATTCAGATATATCAATTTTTAGAGGTTTAAGTTGGGAAGCAATATCCCTTAATTGCATAATATGCATGCGTACACCCTTACGAACATCATATTTGACATTTGTGAGTTTCTGAATCAAGGTTGTAGCCACAACCTTGTCACAAACAATAAATTGCTCCTCGATTGCTTTCATGAAATCCTTTACCTTATCAAATTCAGGAATTGATCCCCGAATACTTCTACTAATATGAGATTTCATAAGCATCATACTGAGACGATTTGCACGCTCCCATTTTTCAAATTTAGCCTTCTTACTTGGTTTCGTAGTCTCCGTGAGAGTAGGAGGACATTCTTTATGGATAGCCAAGTCTAGATCTAAGCAACCCAATGTTAGAAGGATATTGTCCTTCCAATCTTAAAAATTATCGCTGCTTAGAATCGGGACTTCATTAACTACAGAAATAGGAACAATTGCATTGAAATGAAACAAAATTAGTTTTACGAAAATTAAATTTTATTCAAAGTAATGACTTTTAACCTTCCTGTGGGCAGAGGTCCTAAAATGCATAGATTCATTACTTAGTCTTTAATTAAGAACAACAAAAGTTTGATTATAATGAAAGAAAATTTCCATACCCGTGGGTATAAAAGATTTCCCCATTGTAAACAAATATGCTTTCTTAACCCAATAAATTTACATAGATCATTACTTCCATGTGGGGTATAGCAGAGATTTATGTAAATATAATTACAACTCTGGATTGAATTAACATATTTAATAATGCGATATAACATTTTTTATGACTTATGGATGTTGTGGCCATTCTACAAGTTTAAAACTTAATCCCATTAAAACAGTCATTATAAAATCATTCAATTCAAAAGAAAAATATATGTAAAACCTTCAATAGTACAGAAAACAAATTATACCAAAATAAATTCGGGAAAAACAACAAAATTCGGGAAATGAGTGGAGCCCTGGCGTGCGCGTATAAAGAGAGTGCAGAGTCTTCCATATGATAAGGTAAACACTATCGACTTCCAATAGAAATGGACCTCCCTCTATTTTTAACCCACTTTCTGTGGCCTTAATCAATCATATTATATCTTATCTTTTGGTTTTGATCCCTGATGATAGAGCAGTCCACAATCGAAGAAGGATTAATCAAACATATCGACCAACTCTGTCACGTGCTTTGGATTCTTGAGCAATATGCAGTATGGGGAGCCCAAAAATACATCATTCCGACATTAGATTACTTCCCCAAGGGAGCAAGACAATAAAATAGAAAGTCACAGCTATAGCGGATGGATGAGTGAATTAGCCTTACACCATTAATTAATAATTGTTTGCAAAATTAAGAAGTACGAGTGACCCCTTCCCCATCACCAACTTGTTGCTGTCAACAAACATAAATGCATCACTTGCTACGTTCCAAACAGATAAACGCCTGCGCCTCCCACTTGATTTCCACTGTGGGGTCGTGCAGAACCAATAAACACGCCAACAGTGAAGAAGAAGAAGAACAAATGCTTACGAGTAATCAGTTACAAGCTCTCTCTGTAAAACCAAAACAAACTGAGAAAATTTCAAAGGAAGAGAAGAACGGCTAGTAATCACCCTCTTTTCCTAACCAAGAATTTACCCTTTAAACCCGGGCAAATCACTCCTTATTAATATCCAACCTCCTCTCAATTAATGGTAAAAGCAAATATTGCTCTTTTAAGAGACTCCAAATCCACACCAAAACATACACAAACCTCATTAATTTCCCCTTCTACAGATATCATCTTTGAAGCGCGCAGACATCAAGTCCTCCGCTTCCTAGTCTCGTTCCGTTGAAGAAGCGACACAAATCAAAGATGGCCAAGCTTTTACTCGCCCTCTGCCTCCTCTCATGCTTCGTCGTCATTGCTCTCGCAAACACTTCCGGTAGCTTCACCATTCAAGGCCGTGTCTACTGCGACACTTGCCGTGCTGGCTTCGAAACCAGTGCCACCGAGTACGTGGAAGGTATATGATCAACATCTCCATCCAGTAATTAATTAAGATACTCGATCGGGGTACCCGAACGAACGTAGTAATAAATAAATCCGATTAGAAATTAAAATGGATATAATTATATATGGTTAAACATTTGGTGGTCTTTAACCGTACGTACGTCGCACCCGTTCCTTACAGGTGCGAAGGTGAAGGTCGAATGCAAGAACTACACAACAGGCGAGACGACCCAAGAAGCTGACGGGGTGACAGACGCCAGCGGAACCTACAACATCCCGATCATGCGCAACCACGAGATTGAGATCTGCGAGGTTGCTCTGATCTCGAGCTCACGCAAGGACTGTGACGAGATCAAGCCTGACCGCCAGAGCGCGCGCGTCATCCTGGCCCACGATACTGGCATCGCATCTGACATCCGCTACGCAAACTCTCTCGGCTTCCTAAAGAAGGAGCCCCTCCCCGCTTGCGGTAGCCTGCTCCAGATCTATGCGTTGGCTGATGATTTGGACTAAACCTAGCTTCAACCATTGGTTTCTAATGGTGCTTTAATTATGAGTAGCTCTATATGTCTAATAAGTGATACTGACCTGCAGGCTGTGATGCTTCACGACCGTTAGCATTATATATCGGTCCGGACTTTTTTTTTTCTAGATTAATTATTTGAGTGTTCAAACTGCATTTTGTTTATTTTACGGATATGAATATTTTATACAGGCCATTTTTGTTTTTATTTTTTCGAATTAATATAGACGATGAACTATCTGTAGTAGTGTATGTTGGGACGATATATATACATATATATTTGTCTCTAAGCTTATATATGTTAAAAGCACCAGCAGCGGTGGATGATGTGTGAGTTCCGTGTCGACCAGCTGCATCACGAGCAGATAGAAACTCGGTGGCATCGCTCGTGTTCGATCAACTTTCACTTTATATCCTTTGACAAACCAGCGCGCACCGAAACTGCGAGTCATCTCGGAATCATTAGCGAAAGGAGAAAATGAATCGACAAAGAACTTAAGAAGACGAGCATTATTCAAAATGCACAATGGTGATTGTGGCCAAAAATGATGTGAAAGATTCCCGGCCGGCCGGTACAACAAGACTGGCAAAAGCTTTCTAAGTCTACGTACCCAGCATGTGTTTTGTGTCAGATTCCCAAGTGTTAGCGCGCCTGCTGCACATCTTCGATATCCAAGATCTTTATGATCTGTTCACGTACGAGGCGGAAAATAGGCCAATGATGTCCAAATCCCAACCCCCCCGTCCACGGAGGAGGCAGAACGCCAATGATCATCCAAACATATATATATATATATACAATGATTATACAAGGTAAATATATATAGTTCTATATATAGTACGGGCCGGGGGTCAATAATCCTTCCTGGACGAAGCCATTAATCTCACCGACCAAAGTGACGTTAAAATTGTTGACAAAATCAATAGAGTAAATTAAATTGACACAATAACACATACTTAATTGGAAACTGAAAGATCACCAAAACAGTAAAGATCACCAAAACAGTAAAGAACTCAAAGAACTAGTGAATTAAACTGACACAATAACCTTGGTTTAAGATATCACATATTAAATGCATGATCCAAAACTATGCATGCTACCGGCAACACGGCTAGGCTGGGCTTCAGTCAGGAAGAGCAGCAAACCCCGAGAAACCGCAATTGTAGCTGTACAAGATCGAAGAAGCAGCTGCTTCTTCTGATCGAGGACTCTGCTAAAAAAAATTAAAAGGTTTTCGTGGTGTGAGCTAGAGAACAAATTAAACCTGCCGAGAGTTGGTCGAAAGGATTCCGTGATGGAGGTCCAGGTCCTGAACATACCGCATTTCCATTCCCTCATGAGCCTTATTCTTCCCCATGTATACAATGTAGGCCTGCAAGGACGTCAACAGAATCAACAAGGAGAATTAATTTTGAAGGAGAAGGTTAACTAATATTATTATGTGAGTTAAAATAGTTAAAGATCAGCTCACGTTGCTAGCAGAAATGGGGATTAAGAGCAGGGACTGTTGAACCAATAAAACCCCAATAAGGAGAAGGTTGATGAGATGAGCAAGAGGAGGAGCCATAGAGCTACGTTGTATTTCTTTTCATACATAAATTGAGATTAATATTTAATTATCTACAATTTGAGACATATGGTATATACATGAGAGTTTTCTTGTTTGGATTATTTTGTTCGACGTACTACGTCTCTTGTTGAAGATTTTTAAGTATTAATTTCATCTAGTTGTGTGACCTTGTCACTTGGATGATTATTCTTGTCGCTAGCTACATGATATTGTTACTTAGTTGATTTTCTTGGATTTTTTTTTATTATTATATTCTAGTGATAGATTGCATTTAGATTATTAGCATTCCAGTAGCAAGCTTCTATTATTATTATTTCTGGTTTTGTCTTGGTCATTCGATCGTTCCTATTTTTTCCTTGTGGGATCTTGTCGTGTGCCATGCATGCTGACGTACACCTGTTTTCTCTGGTGTACGTTAGATTTAGGAGACAGACAACCTCAGTTCGGAATCGTACAAGAGCCAGAGGATTCTCAACAAGAGTGCCTTGCAGACGGAGCAGAAGAACAAGTTGAAGCTTAGTTATTTCCTTAGTTATTTGATGGTCCTTAGTTTATTTTTGTAGTACTTCCTTTCTATTCCTGTTGAACGATGTTGTAGGCGTCAAAAAATGCTTACAGACATACAAATACCACTCAAGATGACATAGGAGAATATACACGTCATCAAACAACACATGGCGGCGCGACAAGACATAGTGCCGCGGCTAAGGCACGGCAGACCAAGATGCCACGGCTAAGGCGCGGCAGATCAAAGTGCCGCGGCTAAGGCGCTGCAGCCTATTGCTGGTAACTGCCCCTGTGGCCGCTGCAGTTCATGCTGCCGCGCCAATAGCCGCTGCAGTCCGGGATGTCGCGGTCAAAGGGATAGTCGTTGATCGGCTATTTCTTCAGTTATTGTCCAAGGAGGCTATAAATACCCCCCTATGGACATCATTGACGGGGGGCTGAGCATTTTCCAGAGAGATTAGAGCAGAGAGCCTTGAGTTTTGGTGAATTAGAGCAAGAGAGAGAGTCTTCCTTCTTCACAAACATCCTCAAGAAGCTTCTAGCGATTCCTAGAGATCTAAGCTCAGACTTGATCTTTGGAAGAGTGAACATCTTACATCGATAAGATATTCGCTTCAAATTCTTACTTCGATAAACGAAGGAAGAATCATTAAACCCCTCACGGTTCAATCAGAATCTGTGGTTTGGTGGTCCACGAGTCAAAGCGCTCCCGGCACAGGCAAAGTCCCACGCAAGCAGCGATCCAAACAACGATCCTGCGTTTGTTTCTAAAAAGTTATAATTTTCCTTTTGTTGTGTAAAAGAAGTCTTATAAAAAGGCTATCTCTTTTTTTGAATTTATTGTAATCGACTGAAGATATAATGAATTCCACAGCAAAACCAACTTTTGACGCAAACAAGCTGGCGACCACAGTGGGAGCCAACGGTCTCGCTGTCGAGACCGTCGTGTCGCAGCCGATCAAGATTCCAGTTGAATCCATGGTCGAATACGAATTCGACCAAACCAAGTTTGAGGAATATCTCTCATCATCCTCTTCAAGATCTTCATTATCTCGCAAGTACAAGAGGATCTCACAATTGAGGAAGAGTTGCATGCCAAAGAAGGCACAAAATGAAGACTCTCGCCTGATTGTTGCTGAGGATTTTACTCGCAACATCTCTGCTCACATTGGCTCTTCTCCAATTAAGGAGTCATCGAATCAAAGCCCGCCGGCATTGACGAAAAGAGCTCGTCAGAGACAACGCCAACGCCGTGCTCGCCAAATGGCTAAGGCCTTGGAACAAACCGACGGGGTTCGTTATCACGCGGACCTAAAGTCGAGGAGACATCGAGTGGTTCAGTTGTCTCAACAGTCAATCACTCGTATCTCTGCTAAAACAACGACGGGTGAATGGACTATTGTCAAAAAGACTCGTTCGACCCTCAAAGAACGTATACAAAAACGTCGTGCGAACGCTGCTCTTATTCGTGCTCTCTCACAACAAAGACGAGAAAGGAGGAAGGAAACGGTGGCCAAAGAACCACCAAAACTCCGCCAAATTTGGATTCCGAAGTCTGGACTTATGCAAAATCAGCATTCGGAGCCCGTTAAGACTCCATACCCGCAAGGGGGTGGTTTTAAACGTGCGACTCCCGACATAACCTTGGATCGCTCAAAGACAAAAATAAATTGTCTAGAGAATGCCAACAAGGTTTTACACCCCCAGAAGAAGACATATTTACCAAATGATATTGTCATACCTGGGAGGTCATATCAAACAATACGATTTTTTGTCAATCATACTGATGAATCGTATTATCAAGTTGAGGGTGTGAATAAATCTCGAAAAAGATTTATTCGCTCGCATTGTTCCTGTGCACGACTTATAAGATCAGCTGTCCAAGATGATGAATTCCCTGAAGTCACCATCAACGTAGCTGATAAAAGAAAGTCTAAGTGGCATTCAAGTAACTCAAATCCTGACTTTTCCCCGAAAGGAGTAGTCAATCCAAGAATTGCTCAAAGGATGTCTCGACTTCAATTAGGAGCCATCAGACGCAAAAATTACAAGAGAATGCAAGAAGGAATGTCCTCGGAGGATGAATTCTCGGACACTTATTCTGCAATCGCTTCTGATGATACAATGTCTAGCACAGGACAAATCAGAGAAGTATTCACAATCACTGCTGATCAGTTCACTCAAATACTTCAGGAAGCTCTAGCCAAACAACGTGAAGAAATTAGAGCTGAAGTGAAGACAGAAATGAAGTTGGCTATCCAACAAATGAGAGAACTGTTAACTCAACAGCCTCAACCTCCTGAGTCCAATCAGCAATTTGAATCCAGCCACCACACTCGGAATGTTGTAGAGGACAGTGATCCAGAGGTGGATGAAGTCATTATGGCTGATACACCTCCCAATGACAATAACGCTGGGGGTGGTTTAACGGATCCTCCCAATAACGATATTGGGGGTGGTTCAATAGCACCTCTCACTGGGGGTGGTCCAATTATCTTTACTCGACATCATTCAGAAAGAAATGAAGACGATGACGGGAAAATGCAAAAACTTGAAGACAAAATCAATGCTTTGATGACGGCTCAAGAAGTTAAGAAGACGGGTATTCCATGTCCTTATCCGAGGGAATGGGATTCAATACCATACCCGACCAAATTCAATCTGATTAACTTCACACCGTTTGAAGGGAAGAGTTCGCCGATTCAACACTTGATTTATTTCAAGTCTCATTTGGGCATAATCTCTGGAAACGAGGCCTTAATGATCCGGTCATTCGTTGGCACCCTTCGTGGGCCCGCCTTCGATTGGTACCGACGGCTCAAGCCAGGGAGCATCAATTGCTGGGATGACATGGAAAGTTTGTTCCTCAGCAACTTCTTCGATGATGACACCGAAGTGTCAATCGGAATCCTTTTGGATGAGAAGCAAAAAGACGGAGAGTCAGTCGACAATTTTGTCAAGCGTTTCCGTAACATGGCGATGAATTGCAGAGATCCTATTACAGAGGAGTTCATCCTGCAAACATGTCACAATAACCTCTCCATCGATGTCCTGGAAGCTCTGGGGGTCGTGCCATCCACAACTTGGAAGGAGTTAAAATCTCGGGGTGAACAAGCTGAGCACTTTCTTA